GCGAGCAACAGTGCTTCCTGCAGAAACCAAGGGAGGGGAGGGCAGGCTTCCCAGAGGAGGGGCTAGAAGTCAGGAAAGAGAATGAACTTCAGTATCTGTCTCCCAGCACAAAGTCTGCTCCTTGAGGGCAGGGAGGATGGCATATTTATTTCACTCCATTTCTCTAGTGCCTGGCACATGGTGACGGACATGGGAGTGGATGATTAGAAAAGAGAAATAATTTCCCCTTTGTGTTTCTATCCTCTTTTGTTTCCGAATGAATTTAAGGCAGCTTGCAAGGCTGTAAAATAACATAAATTAAAAGTAGGGAACCACAGGAAAGAAGAAGGGGATGGAGGTGTGGAGGGAGGTAGGGATCTAAAGTGGATTTGGGAATGAAACCAAACTTGCTGACCAAAATAACCTCTGTGCTTTCTCTGAGGGGCCTGCCAGTATGGCTCAGAGCACTTGGCAGCCAGTGAGTAAAGCCAAGGCCTACTCGGTTGACCACAAGGTAAAAACAAAAACAAACAAACAAAAAAACCACACACACACACACCCACACACACACACACGGTGTCTTGTTATCGAACTTTCCTTTGGGATCTTTGTAAAGAGCACTCCGTGAAATGTGATGAAGGCCTTCTTCAACTTCTTGGAGGAAATCCAGTGACTAATTCAGTGACTTTGTATGCCAGTGGCATCGCATAAAAGCATAATTCCATAAAAGTGATTTATCAAGGGCTCCTGGAATAAACTTTTTCTCTAAGGTAACTGTGGTATCAGAAAGGTTAGTTATAGCCGCTGTTTTGTGGTGTTCACTTTTATCCAGTCTCCTAATGCCACCTGCCACTGTCCGAGGTCCTAGAAGGCTCAGGGGCTCAATTTCTGCTTCCAGGGAGTTTCAGGATCATGTTTTGGGACTTGAGATACTCATATGTGATTTGGGATGAGGATCCGTATGCTCGGATCCCTTAGAAATGGCCAGACCCAACAGCCACACAAAAAAGCAATATCCTGATTTTTGATGGTTGAGAGGCTGGAAAGGGACAAAGTGCATTGTGATGAGTTGTGTCCTTGGTTATCCGAAGGTGACATGAAGGAGTAGTTTTTTCCTCCTGGACACACTGGAGCCTAGATTTTGGTGGTGGTGGTGGTGGTGGTTCTGGTTCTTCTCCCCCCCCCCCCTTTTTTTTTTTTTTTAAAGATTTTATTTACTTAGGGGAAGAGAGAGGGAGTGCTAGAGGAGGGGGGAAGGCAGAGGGAGACGGAGAGAGAATCTCAAGCAGGCTCCATGCTGAGGCTCGATCTCACGATCCCGAGATCATGACCTGAGCTGAAATCAGGAGTCAGATGCTTAACCAACTGAGCCACCCAGGTGTGCTGATTTTGGATCTTCTAATGCCAGTGCCGATGAGATTCATGTGGGTCTGTTGGATCTTTAGACAGCATTTGAGTGCCAGTGTACCCACTACAAGAACTGGAACAGAGCTTGGACTTAAAGGTCAGCACTTTCAAATGCTTCAGTTCTTGATGATTGACTTATGACCCAGTCCGAAGTGAACTGTGGATTTACCTATTGCTTCTCTCTCCCTGCATGCTGTGTCAGTAATCCAGGGTAGACATAGGCATGGTCAGAGTGAGAGAAGCACCCCAAGTCATAGGAGCTAGAGAAGGTGGATGGCCTGGGACCATTTCTGTGTGTGGACTAGGGAGGGCTGTTCCTGATGCAATAGAATTAGAACTCCAAATCAGCCAGAGGAACAGCATCTGGGCAGGTCAGCTGTTGGGACTCAGAGTCAGCCCAGAACCAACATATCATTAAGTTGGCTGGCAACAAGCTGTGCAACACTGAGTGAGTCCCCATGGCCTTTTGTAAGAAGGATGACACCCCAGTCATGACCTACAGACTTGCCACCCCGGGAGGCTCATTTCTAGGCACTCCTCCTTGGTAGGGGGTTGAGATGGACCCTTTTGAAATGTTTGTCTTGCGTAGTGTATGTATTTACCTGCTGTGTTGGTATCTTTTAAAATATAAACTGTCAACTCTTGATTTTTTAAATTTGTACTCTGCCATCTAAAATGAGAAGGCATCACGATAATCTGATGGTGAACCTCACCGACCAAGAAAGTAACATTATCTCTAACTTAGTAATTAAGGAGTATTCTCTTCATGGTGTTTCTTTGTATTGAATAAGCATTATGATTGGCGAGTCTACCTTAAATATATGTTCACTCTACAAACCTGCTGAAATTGAGGGGGGTTAGTTTTGGGTTTTCTTTGACTGTTACCCCTGGGAAAGGTCCTACAAGTTTTTCTCTTGAATGCCCATTGACAGCTACTTAGACTAACTCTTGTGGTATTTCTTTTTCTCGTAGAGTAGGAAAGAAACTTCTGTTTCTGGCTTTGAAATGTGTTAAATAGTCCACCTCCTGGGGATCCATGACTCAGGCTGCAGGTCATGCCATCCAGCTCAGGCTTCCCAGATGAGTGCACTGTCTTGATATCTGGTCTTCACTTGGGAATGGTCAGATTGGATAGACTGCCTGGACCTGAGTCTGTGGCCTAGTTCTTTTGAAGGTCTCTTAGGATGAAACAGAGCAGTGATTAGCTTGACTGGTGGTGATGGTGGCAGAAAGGAAGAGGCCAAAATTTCTGTTCTCAGTGGCTAACAGATGGGGATGGGGAAAGTGATTCCCCTAAAGGCTGGTAATACAGAGCTACATAGCATGGAATCAATCAAAGCCTTTCTTGAACTGTCACCTGGGCAAGTACTTAGGGCTGATGGAGCAGGAGTATTCATCAGGGAATCTCAGAAGGGTAATGCCAAAGTCCTCTCATGGGGTGGTCAGCATCCGGGTCTTGGTGAAGAGGTGTTGGCTTGTTGATGCATCCTGTTGATATGGAAGTGATTTTTTGAAAATGAGAAGGAGTAAATTATCCACTCCTTCCTGCTGAAATTAGAACCTGTTGGCAGTTGAAATTTATGACACCAAGGCTCACTGACTGCTACCAGCTTTATGGCAGACATGGCCTCAGTTCTCAGTGTTGGCATTCCTTGAGCATTCTGCGCTGACAATGACTTACATTCTCCAGTTCCGTTTCTCTGGAGGCTGCCTCCCAAATCCAGGCCATCAGTCCTGTATTTCTCCGGCCACTCGTTGGCAGGTTTGGCTAGTGTCTGAAATGATGGGGACTAGTAACTTGCCCCACTTTACATATGCAAAAGCAATGAACTATCATTAGTGCCTGACATTCCTCCCAACTACCCGGGGAGGTGAGTCAGCATCATCACTATTCATTAGGAATTAATTAGACTGTGCTTGAGGGTGCCAGTTGTAGACCGAGCTGAGCATTCAGCACTGCCTACGTTCTCTCCCTTTGAAATCCAGCCTCCAACTCACTGTCTAGTGAGAGTGTACTTGAGTCGGCTAATCCCTTGGATGGTGCATTCTAGCTGGTGAAATGACTCCTGGATTCAAATTTTGTTGAGTATATGACTTCTGTCAACTTATTTAGTTCTCTGGACCTCGTAAGGTGGAGATAATACCCGGTGGGAGTAGTGCAATGATTAAAGATGCTTTCAGTGAAAGCTTCTGGCATTGTGCTTGAAACATGGTTTATTGGGAGACTGTTGAATTTGGATTTGATGTACCAGTTCACTTTGGAAGTAAAACATAACTTTTCCTAGTCTTTTTATTGGAGGTCAGCTTTTTTCTTATAAGAAAAATTTGGCTTTCACTAAAATCAGAGTGACCTTAGAGCCATCAGATGTGTAGTTGAGTTGTCTACTACAAATATCATTTCAACCATGTGATTCTTTCTTTAAATGGCTCCCACTGTTGCCTCTGTCCACATTCTTCTGAGCTTCTAGAAATCTTTCTTAGCTTTCCTTTTAGTGTCACGACCTATGTTGCCTTTTTCATTCACCTACTCAGGTTTGCTTTGTTACCATTTCTCACCTCTTCACATTTCTTCCTTGGGTACCTCTTTGGCTTCTGGCCTTCACACCCTCACCACTCTGCCTCCCCTATAGCTTTTCTTATAGTTGTCATCTTCTGATTCTGTTTTTCTCTAGGGGCCAAAAGAAAAAAGAGAGAAGGTAAAATATTGTATCTCAAAAATTACCATTCCACTCAAAATAATGTTTGTTTGTTGAAGCAGAAGCTTACCTCCTCGAGTACCCAAACCATATTTGTGCCTTTTTCTTTTAAAGATTTATTTGAGAGAGAGAGTGTGAGCGCGGGAAGGCACGGGGTAGGAGAAGCAAAGGGAGAGAGAAAGAGGGAATCTCCAGCAGACTCCCTGCTAATCAAGGAGCCTGACACAAGGCTCAATGCCGTGACCCCGAGATCATGACCTGAACTGAAATCAAGAGTCGGCGCTTAACCGACTGAATCACCCAGGCACCCCCGTATTTGTGTCTTTAACACAGAAGGACTGTTGGTTGTAATTGTGATTACTAAATAAGAAATTGGATCAGACAGCCAACCCTTGGTTATCCAAACTCTGCCTGGCTTAAGTCTGTCCTCTTACATTTTCCTAATTTGGTAATTTTCTTTGGAGCTCTTCTCATTAGAATCTTGACCAGAGTCAGGGTGAGGGATGGGAGGGATGGGAAAGGATGCTGAAACTCTTGCCCTTCTCATGGGAAGCTTGGGTGATAAGTTCACTCACATTGATGTCAAAGAATGTTCATGTCATCTGGTTGTTGGTTTATTCTTTCTTTCATTGACTATTATTCCAGGTACTCTGCTAGCACTGGGGATACTATGCTCCCTGCCCTCAAGGAGACTGGGGTATGGATGGGGTGCAATAACAAATCAGCTTACTAAGTTTTATTATAGGTAGAGTGTATATGGGAACACAAGGTGTTGATGAATGACTTAGTTGGCCTCCTTCAGTGTTAATGATGGAAACTGAGGCACGTGGGGGTCGACAAGTGCTGTGTGGTCCTGGGCTACTCAGGTAGAGACAGGGTCCTAATGCCTAGTCCAGCCCTTTTCTGATTGCCTCATAGCCTGTTGAGACATTGGCTAAAAGCAGCTGTATGGATTTTTTGTGACCCTCATGTTCAGTGGTGTTTCATTAATCATGAGGGTTAGTTAAAGCTAACCCCTTTATTTAAGAGCTCTTAAATCACCTATAAGTGGGTGAGATGCTTACATTATGAGAGACCTACAGGAATTAAGATCAAGGAAGCAGCAGATTCCTGTGCCCTATGTCACACCCCTTGTGAGTGCGTCCCTTGAATGGAGTTGGTGGCAGAAGCACCTGCATTGGACTGTCTTGCCCCCTTCTTCCCCCAGACTTTTATATTAAAATATGTGTTGGACAAATAGATATATGATGTCATTTCACTGTAATCATGTCACCTCTCCTCAAGTGTTAGAGGGTAACTGTGAAAGAATGATCCATTTAGGGAGTATAGCTGTTGGGGCAGTTAACAGGAATGTTTGGGTCACTGGTAACATTTCTTTCTGGAACTTATTATAGTGTAGCCAAGGAGGATTTTAGGGAAAAAAATGAGCCATTGGAAAAGTGGTGATGATGGAAATGGAGGCACCCAGGGACCAGTGGTACACAGTATATCTCGATAAATCTCTGTGGCAGTCCTGTGAGGGGAGAGTCCCTCTACCCCTTAATGACTTCCCTGTGTTGGGATTGAATTGAATTTATCTCCCTTTTTAAGTTAAAACCTGAGCTTCTGCGAGATTAACTAATTTAGCCTGGGTGTTGAGGCTCGCCAGTGAGCTGGGTTTGGAAGTCAAGTCAGGTTGAGTCTTAATACCGCATACTCCGTCCTCCGCCCCCAAAACTGTGTTCTTCATTTACTGCATCGAGTGAAAGTTGACTCCCTTGCTCAAAGGAGGTATGAGGAGGTGAGGTTGTTAGCTCTGCAGGCACAGATATTCTAAGCTCACCTTGTTTGATTAGATCTTATTGGTAACGAGCAGGTTCTTGTTGCTATACATTCAGAAGCCAGGTAGATTGGGTGGTAGTTTACCCATTAGATGCATTTTTAGGATATTCCTAACGTGTGGCTGATACTGTCAGAGTCACTGGATACATGTTTCCAGGATGAGGTGGATTTTGAGCCGGGCTGGAAGGGACCTGAGGAATAGAACGCCAGAATGGTTATTTTGGTATCCAGTACGGGGAGCTTTTCTCAGCCAGCCCCAGTCTTGTGATCGGAAACTCTCTGCCCATACAGGGCCTCATCTTACAATTGGGTTGTAAAACCAAGGGCTGTATAACTTTGTGGATTATGTATGTGGTAGCTTCTGGGCTATGTCCTGGCCCTTGTTCAGAGTAGGTAATTCCATCCTGCTGAGCTCCAGTTGACCAAATTGCAAGAGCCTGGACACAGAGCTCTTCCCTTTGCAGTAAATGAATAAAAACGAGAGCATTTAGAACAGTGCCTGTATTTACTAAAATGGATGGATCAGGGGTGCCTGGGTGGCTCAGTCGGTTAAGCGTCTGCCTTCAGATCAGGTCATGATTCCAGAGTCTTGGAATCAAGCCCCGCATCATGCTCCCCGCTCAGCAGAGCCTGCTTTTCCCTCTGCCCCTCACCCTGCTCGTGCTCTCTCTCTGTCTGTCTCTCACATACACACACACACTCTCTCTTTCTCAAATAAATAAAAATCTTTAAAAAAAATAAAATGGATGGATCAGTTAATGCTAGCTAATACTGCATTCCCTAACCAAGGACTAGTGATTCTTAGCTTTAGAGGTAACTTGAAGGGGTTGTCTGCAAGACTGTACTACCTGTCTTTAAGGCACTTCACCCCTCGTGGAAGTTTAGCTAGCTGGAAATTTTTCCATATGTTGAGTCAGAATCTTATTTGGAGCTTCTACAGAATGGGTCTACACCTTCCCCATGTGACAACTCTTAGAGGTTGTTCAATGTCTAGGGACACTAAGCTTGGCAATTAATGATTCAGAAAGATCTTACCAGCTTGGAGTCATGGCTTAAGGGTAAAAATAATGGAATTTAATAGGAATAAATATAAACTCATGTTTTTAGCTCCTAAGCCAGTTGCATAAGAGAGCAATTTCGGGAACAACACTTGGGAGCTTGGAGGTTTTATGGATCATAGGTCCCCCTCTGAGTGTCATTTATGGAGGGTGTGGACAAACTGGGATGCATTTATGAGGGCTGGGCAGAGGGACGATGTGAATTGTGTCTAGTCTGGATCACAATCAGGAGCCTGGGGGCTGTTCCTGTCATGCCTAAATGGGTGTTGGGGGTGGGGGAGTGGATTTGCTTCCACAAGGGATGGATAGACCTCCAAGGGATGGATAGATGGAAGTTAACCGGGACATGGGTTTCAGCCTCCTAGATAGAAGGATTTCAGCATGCCAGTACAAAGGAAGTGGTATTGGGGAGGTAGTGGGGTCCTTGCCATTGGTGATGTTCACGTGTAGACTGTATGACCAGCTGAAGGAAGAGGAAGAAGGCATGTCAAGCATAGGCTCAGGGGTGCTGGTGTGCTTTGGTCTGGAGACTGAGGCTCTTACTTATACGGTGGTGGTGGTCTTAGGCAAATAGAGATCCCCTCATCCCTCAGCTGGCCCTCACTGTCCTGGATTCTGTCCCTCTACTGTTGTGGTTGCATGCTGGGCACATCCACTGCTCATGCTAAAATGTGGCTCCCTGCAGTGAGTTCATACTGCTATGAGCGGCTCAGAGCTCAGGGACAGGCCTGGGCTTTTGTGTGTGCCATTTGTTTTGTTTTGTTCTGTTTTTGGGTCAGGTAGAGAGGGAGAAGGTGGATTAGCCACTACCTCAAAGCGTTTGCTCATCTTCTCATACTTTTTCCAATAAACTGCTTTGGAGGCGGAACAGACTTTAGGGCAGAATGGTACAGTTCAGCTTGAATTTTTGTGAGCCTCCTAAATCCCCACCAAAAAAAAATGTAATAATTCGAGAATTCAAAAGACCCACACTGGAGGCATCGTGGAGTTCATCTGCAGGTCAATCACGAAACCTTTTCTTGTGGCGTAATTGATACCTCTCAACATTGGGTAGTTTGTAGAGTCCTGTGTTAATGTACATGTGTTGGTAAGAAGTAGTAAATATTTTGCTGACAAGTTCTTTGAATGATGGATCCATGGCAGCATTTAAAAGCAGACAACCTGAGGGTTTCTTTTATCCAGGTGCTGCTAGATCCCAAAAGCTGTCAGGGTATGAAGCCAAAAGCACCCACTAGTTACACCATTAATTGTGTAATGTTCGTAGGCCCCTGAGTTTCTGCACCTGGGATCTGTTGATAAACGCAGCTGGGGGAGGGCAGGTGGAAGGGTGGCAGTTGAGAGAGAGAATGAGAGAAGACAGGTTGCTTGCTCTCAGGTGACTGCTTCCCCACTCAAGCCTGGGGCCTCCCCTCTTCGATCCATCCCCAGGAGCATTCCTTCTCCCTTTTTGGGGAAGCCTTTGAATTAATGATCTGATGCTTTTTCAACAAAGGAATATTGATATGTTAGTGTGCAGACAGCAGGGGGTACTGGATTAGATCATTTTCACATTGGTGTTTGTGCCAGTTTGACATTTGTTTGGAAAGCTTACCCCATTATGACCATAGGTTACATGCATAATTTAAGGGGAATAAATCTTTGAGAAAAATTTCTTTTGGTTCTGTAATCTTCAGTGCTACAGAAAAATAAATGAAAGACTCCCTATGGTTTTCATGTGATCAGAAATTCCAAGTAGGCTCCCGGATGAAGTGCCCCATGTAGGTGTAAAACATTTCTGCAAATGCGCTGGCCCCTTGTAGTCAGTGCGGGGAAGGCAGGAGTGGGGACAACTTGGTCCCTGCTTCAAGGTTACAGTCTAGAAGCAGAGAGTGGCGAAATGACCTGAGTGTGTAGGGCAGAAGCCCCGCTGAAAAATGCTGTCCAGGAGCAGATACAGGGCCCCTGGTATTGCTGTTTTAGTGGAATGAGTATTTGTGATAACAAAATTATCTCCTCCTTCCTCCAGCCTGCCACCATCTTGCATTTCTGTGATCTCAGTGACAAATACTGGGATGGTTTGACATTTTCGAGTTATCGTGCCAATTGCCACAGCAATTGTTTTACTTTATTTTCTTTGAAACAGCTTGTTTTGCTGTGGACATTTGATTATCCGTGAGCGAAGTGCTCCTGGTAGGTTGTAGGCATCTGGTCAGTGTTTTTGCTGGATTCACGGTGAACTTGCAAACTCTAAGGGAGCCCCGTTCTCACATCTGTGAAGATTATCCAGTTTCTGCCTACCTGTATGCATGTTTAACGCAATATGTAAAGAACAAAAGCCACTTGGATCGCCAAATTCTGTATTCTCCACTAGGAGTTCTTCTCCAAGCAAAGCTGGTGCCTGAAGAATAGGTAATAGAACGAGGAAGAGCAGTATTGTTGGTCATTACCTTGTCCTTATACTATCTTTTCATTTCTCTCTTAGGTTCATTTTCTTGAAAAGGCTCCAGGCTTCGGCTTGGAAAATCCAACCGCCAAAATTGAGCCCAGCAGCTGGAGCGGCAGTGAGAGCCCTGCCGAAAACATGGAAAGAATGAGCGACTCTGCGGATAAGCCAATTGACAATGATGCAGAAGGGGTCTGGAGCCCCGACATTGAGCAGAGCTTTCAGGAAGCCTTGGCTATCTACCCACCATGCGGGAGGAGGAAAATCATCTTATCAGACGAAGGCAAGATGTATGGTAAGTGGTCTGGAATGCTCCTTTGAGATGCTACGATGTGCTTTTATGATAAGGGGTGATTGCAGTTAGCCCTCTACTGAGATCCATTCATTGTATTGGGTGGAATGATCTTTGTAGAGTTTTAGTTGGCCATCCAAGGGACTAAATCTCAACCAACCAGAAGAGTCCATAAAGGACCATTGAGAAATCATTCTCTGGGGTTTTCTTGTTCTTCTACACACTCAACAGCGTTAGAGAAAAGCTCTCAGGGTCCAGGTAGGGATTTAGTGTAGTGGCATATGCGGACCCCCACGGGTGGGATGTGGTTCTTCAGAGCACGTGCCCAATCTCATGGAAGCCTGCCGCTCAGTAGCTCCTGGTAATTGACTGGTGCCACATGGAAATGGGGCCTCATGTTGACAAATCTCTTGATTCTCCCCTCCCCACCCCCTACCCCAGAAGAGCTAGCAATATAGATGCTTATCACTCATTTTTAAAAGCCAGCACTTTGTTTTTTAAACACAGCCCTGTATCAGCCAGATGAGATGGGTGTGTAGCTTGATCAGACCTTCAAACCACCATTTTACTGCTCTGTTGCACATTGGCAGTTGAGTGGCCGGCCAAGGGGTGAACCCCCAGGCTCTCACCAGTCTCCCCTTCTACAAGGGGATGCCTAGCAGTGTGTTTTAAAGGAAACTTCAGGAGTGCCCAAGAAGACAAGACTGGTCAACTGAATGGCTTGGGATGCCAAAGGCAGCAGCATGTAGCCGTCGCCAGTCTGGGGCTTGTGTACTAGGTTTGAATATTCCCTGCTCCTTCCATAAATGCTTCCAGCTGTAGACCTGTACTTTTTTTGGCTGCTTACCTTTTGGGAAGCAGATGGCAGGTGGTGGCTTGTACATTCTGCTTGTCTAATTGGGCACGTTGAGTTGACAGAGTTTGCACTGTAGCTGAGTCTAAAGAGATGCAAACAAATAACCGAAACTCAAAGAGAACTGGCTCAGCAACCTTCCTGGGGTTGTTAACTTATCATGGAAGTGATTTATTTCCAAATAATTTGAAAGCTTTTCCATAATAGGGTGTTGTACCCTTAATACCGCGCCTCCTCTATCAGGGGCCGTAGGAGACTGCCGCTCAAACTGGCACACGCAGCTAAGGAGAAAGCAGATGGTGGTGCAGCTGCTACCAGCTGTGGTCCCCGCCCTCCCCTTCCCCAGCCTGGATGATGTAATGGAAACAAGGGAAATGTTGCTTTCTGCAGCATCAGAGTCTCTAGCCTGTCAGTGCCACACACACGGGGGAGAGAGAGCCCGAGCCTTCATTTTTTTTATGCTCCCATGTGATCCTTCGTATCCAGAGAAGCTTCTTCGTGTCCATTCGTGAAATGGACTCAGGGTGAACCATGTCAGCTGCTGTGGGCAGAAAGTTTCAGAGCCTCTGATCGTGTGTGCATGTGTGTGTGTGTGTGTGTCTGTCTTTGCTGGGCTACCCTTCCCCAGCCTGGTTCTTGGCCTGCAAGGTCTTACCTTTGTATCTAAAGATGCAACCCCACCGCCCGCCCCCCCATTTTAAAGGCAGAGCAAAGTACTTTAATCTTTGAGCCTTCGAAGCTGATTTCACTTCTACCTGTGAAGGTGGCTTCAGGCTGCTCTATCTTGTACAACTCCCATTTGTTTGCCCAGAAATTGTAATCTAAAATATCGGCCTGGTGTCGGACATCCTGGTCAGGGGTGACTCCCGCCCTTCATTTCTCATCCTGGCACTTCCACTTTAGGAGTGAGGTTTCGCGCTGAGAGCGTGATTCAAAGCAAAAGTTAATTTTGTCAACTCCAGTGTTGTTGTCTTCTCTGTTGATTTTACTTTTTAGGTAGCAGCCGTGGTAGGCTTAGCCTGTCTGCCTGTAACACCATCATAGAAATAATTTTTTGTGGAAATAAGTGTGTAAGAGCTCTTGTTGGTCACTGGGTGTCAGAGGCACGGGGCTAAATATGGAAGAATCCCTGAGAAGCTCGGGATTTGAGTCCTTTACCCCCAGTGGACAGTCTTATCCCTTGGCCTGTGTCTCCGTTTTCTCCCCTGAAGAAAAAGAGAGTCAAGTAGTTGATGTCTTTGGGTCCTCGGGACCTGTGCATTTTGTGATGCTGTGATTTTGTGACTTGTACCCCAGCAAGAGTGAGGAGTATGTTGACAGACACAGTGCTGGTTGTGGGGGCATGTCTTTAATACCCACGACAAATCAGATTCCCAGTGCTTCCTGAGAGCTCTTGTTCTTAATATACGAATTCTTTTTTCCCTTAAATCAGCATTCCATTGACTTACTGTGTTAATGACCAACCTGATTGAAAATGGGGTGGTCTTTTGAGCAAGCAGCATTAGGAATTACAGCTGCATGGTCATGTGTCCAGATTGGGGGGGGGTTGGTGTGCAGGAAATGCATTTGCTGCAGGGCCCTCGAAGCTGTGCCATCTCCAAGCAGCTGCCTTGGGGAGAGAACACTGCCCGCAACCCTATCTCATTAACCCCATCTCATTGGCCACCACGGAGGAGTTGTGCTGCTTCTGCTAATTTGAAAGGGAAACATGGTGGTTAGCAGGGATTTGGGAGCTGAAGACTAGGCCCTTAGGAGAACTGCCCCAGATGCCCAGGAGCTGCCGATGACCTGCCTGTGACTTTGGGGGGGCGGGAATTTGCCTTGGGAGCCTCCATGGGGAAGCCCCTACCACCTGGGAACTGAGTCAGTGAGCAGTGTGGAGTGAGAGCCTACTGTTCCCTGGCTTCTGGCCTGCTCCCCATCTTACCTTCCACGAACCAGCACCCAAACCAGACCAGGAGTTGAAGTTTCCTAAGGTCCTGTGAGCGTACTTTTTCTTTTCAGCATTTTGAAAGTGAAAACCTGGAAAGCATTTTAGATTCCACAGAGTAAAATCAAAATAATTTAATGCCTTTTAGTGAAATACCAAGTGTTTTTGACTTGAGGGGGCAGTTTTCCGATATTTCTGAGCATTTGTAGAGTGCATTGTGATGTCACGAATCCTGAGCCAGTTGAGAAGCAAGGTCAAGTGCAGCACTGATTTATTTTGGTAATGACATTTCCTCCGTGGTTGGCAGTAGGGCAAATGCAGTCTTACAGAGGGGAAAAATGGGAAGCTCTCTTTATGAGGAGGTTTGGGCCATTAGAAGAGATGGCTTATTCTCTCTTTGCTGCTCGGGTGCATGGGGACACCGAGACTTGATGTGGTTGGCCTCCATGTGGACAGACTGCTTCTGCCCCGGGACCTTCTGTGTGGGCAGCTGTCCTTAGGGATAGTTAGGAGAGTGAGACCTCTCAGTGCCTGGGGGCGCACACGCTCTTTCTTTCACTCTCTGCTTTCCTTTCCTTTTTCCTACTTCTGCATAGCTGTGTGTCTCTTTTTCTGGTAGATAGTTGGAGAGGAGATAGCAAGAGGACAGGAGAGGAGAGAAGTTTTTGATCAGCAAACTTGCCTGAGATTGAATTTCACAGGAACAGGCCATTAGTTTAAAACAAAACCGTGAACCACGGGGATACCTGGATGCCTTTTTGTTTTGCCGCTGAAAACTCTGGCCTACCAGTGTGGTCCAGTGTCTCCCATAATCACACCGGGGCAGGGATAGGAGCAAACATTCCTTGACCGATGGCTTTAAAGACAGATAAATGTAGCCCTTAAAATTTTGGACTTTGGAATCACAAGGAGGCTTGGCCCTGCCACTTCCAGATACCAGACTTTGGGCAAGTTGCTTTTCCTCTTTGTGCCTTTATTTTCCACAACCACAAAAGGGATTGAAGTAGATCCTACTTTGTGGGATGGTTGTAAGAGTTAAACAAATGAATTGTGCTCTGGGATTCCCCCTACCACGTTGGCACAGTGTCGGGCTTCAGGTGAAAGCTGAACTGAAAACGGAAAGTGCTCTTGCCCTGACCTGGGCTACAGGCTTTACATAGGATTTCCATCTACTGCTCACAACAACATTGTGAGATGGGTATTCTAATCCCCGCCGTGTAGATGAGGATGCACATGAGGAGCAGAGCTGGAAGGGTTCAAATCCAGGTCGGTCTGACCCCCAAAGCTGGGCTCTTTCCACATGTCTTCCTTCCTTCCTTGGTGGAGGTCATTGTATGTTAATGACGAATCAATATTGAGCACCGCCTGTATTCCAGCCCAGGGCTCGGGGCTGTTGGGGATACACCAGTGAGCCAGACAGACATGGTCCCTGCCCTCATGGAGCCGTCACAAGTGCCTTTGCAGGAAACTCTGACCTCGGGTCAGGGCCATGTGCCAGAGCTTTCTGGGAAGTCTGAGGGCCCTTTGAAGATGGTCACCTTCCACTTAGCCTTTTGAAGCCTGTTCTTGGCTACCAGCGTCCAGGGCACCTGGCCCAATGCTGGCAGGAAGAAAGCTTCTCAAATAACACGGCAGGGAGGATCCTAGATCACAAGGCTGGCCCTGCTGGTGGCCAGGAAGCTGTCTGGAAGATTCTGGTACCCTGAGATCCTACAGGCGGCCTGACCAGAGCAATTGCTGGGCAATGGTTTTCTCCTTTTATGAGCAAATGTCTTCAAGGTCCTTGTCTGGGGACAGCTCCAGGGATGGCCCCTTTCTTTCTGTGACGCCAGGCCTACTGATTAGCCCTGGAGAGAAGAACTGTGAGGACTGGATAAATTTGGGGGGGGGGGTGGGTTGAGAAGGAAGACGTCTCTGGGCCAGTCCTCTCCAGTTGCCGCCGACCTGAGCCCTGCCAGCTGGGGGAGCACTGGACTTGGAATGGCCCCTCTGCCTACTTCTTAGAAGCACTGACAGAAGAGGGAAGCGGACCACTGTGGTGAGGTGGTGGTGGGGGACGTCAGCATGGGCGCACACAAGCAGGCACAAGTGAGCATTGCTTAGTCAGGCAGAGACTGAGATCTGTGGTCCCCAGGCTCCTCCTGGCTTAGAGAACTGCTTGGAAAAATGAGGAGCATCCCTTTTCAAGACGAGGAAGGTGGCCTATGTCTGGAGGCCCCA